GGAGGGGGAGGGGAAGGGAGGGCGGGGGGGGAGAGAAGGCTGGAGAGACACGAAACCGAAACTTTTAAGAGAAATCTCAAAAAGGGATCGGAGCGAAAAGAGCGGAGCTTTTTCCGAGGGCAGCTTGCGGGCAGAGCGTGCGGGTGTGCCTGTGCGCGCCTGTGCGTGTGCGTGCGTGTGCGCGCAGGATCCACCCCGGGAACTTTCCCCCCTCAACTCTCGCCTGTTTACTGATCTCAACCCAGAGGGCTGCTCGGAGTATAATCCATCTGAACCTCTTCCCTTTTTTATACCCAGGCGACGTCATCCTGGATTTAGTTCCTGGTAATATGCAGATGACAAACAAAACCAGATTTGATTTTTTTTTTTCTCCCCCTTTTTGGTGGGGAAGAGGTGGGGGTTACACAAAGGAGTGAAAGGAGCCCGGGTCTGTGTATTGAGAATTAATGAAATTAACGTAATCCTTTCCATTAGTGGGCTTTTTGGAAAGGCCCCAGATTTCGGCTCGATCTCTGCTGCACCGGCTAATTGCCCAGGTTAATCTCATTAATGCCATTGTGCAGAAGCGGTTAGCAGCTCCTAGCCTCGTCTATTATGCACCTACTTTGCTCGTGTTAGTTCACATTAGCGGGTGCGATTTCCTCTGTCTGAAGCTCGGATTCATTATTTATGCTCCGAATTGGTTAAGAAGCACTTTTTAAAAAATAAATAAATAAATAAACTGCGAGACAACCGTGCAACTCTCTCTCCCCCCCACTCCCTCAACGTGTTTCGGTAGCCGGGTCTGAAGCTTGCGTTCCCCGGCTCGGAGAACCGAAGGGCCATTGCCGAGCCTGCGTTCCGCTGATTTAAGCTTTACGCGGTGAAGCAACAACGTCTTCCCTAGAGTAAATGAATTATTGTTTTTCTCTTTTCCTAGATCACCTGGTGAAACTAGGACGCGTGAATGATGTAAACATTTTTAGTTTTTTTAAAACAGGTTCAGATCCTGACAGGTATCGCTTTTCATTTTTAAACAAGCCCGGCGGTGGAAATGTTAAAGACCAGTGGCCGTCTCAAACCCCCGGGTCCGGTAGGTGTTCCGATTTGTTTCTGATCCATCCCGGTGCTTTTTTCTTCTTAAGGAAGAATCTTTCCTTTTCTAGCTTAGAAAACAAACCCTACGGAGTTGCAACGGTACGGAGAACTTCATATTTTGTGTGTTCCGTGAATTTAAAATGGAGCAGTTTTAAGTCCCTAAAACTCTTCCTATTAAGACGTTGGTCTCTCTTGGTAGCTGGCTCTTGTGATTTGCAGAATACTTCGTCTGTCACGACTGTCACTGGGAATCCACAGGAGGTGAACTGAATAAGATTAGACTATTTACCCCATCAACCCTCCATCAAAGAAGGTAGGAAATTGCACGCATGAAATGAAAACAAGCCATTAGGGTCCGTTTACGAGGAACACATTATTTTTCCTCAACAAAGAATATCCTCGTTAGCGCTTACTCGCACTTTATCTTTATCCTTCCTTTCCCCGATATTCCAGGATTTAAAACCGCGTCTGAGAACGATCTAAACCCAAACCCGATTTTTAACAAACTACTCGTACGGCCGCTAGAGAAAAAGAACGCCAGGACTTAATTCGCACTTTCTTAATCCATCGCCATGTGACTAATTACTAGCATCGTTTCTTTTCCTTCAATTTATTCTGCCGATCAATTTATTCCCTCCTTCGGCATTTAGACCTGCGCTTCGTGCAAATTTTGCAAATTTGACGTGAAATGAAACTATTTGACAGAGGGTCGAGGTTGTCCTGTTGTTGTTTTGGGGGTTTCCTTTATTTTTGGGGTGGTTGGTTGGTTGGGGAGCAGGCTGGGGCTGTTTTGTCGGATTGGCTTCTGGTTTTGGGGTTTTTTTTTCGGTAAGCCGTGCCCTGGGCGCCGGGCGCTGCCGGGCTCCGCCGCCGGGACCCTCGTT